TAAGGAGAAGTTTTTATATATATATATGTTGTTACTATATAAAGTAAGAGGTTTTTATTTACATGTAAATATTTATTCTAATTACTTAATGTTGTTGTTGTTGATAAGTTGCTAAAGAGAAAAATATTGTTCGAATGTATGAGGTTTGTACTTAATTAAATATATATTGTAATTGTTGAATATAGTGTTTAAATATTATACAAATTATAAAGAGAAAAATATTGGTCGAGTAGAAAGGAGGTTCAAAAATTATATATATCCTATATACTATCATAAAAACACGACGCCCCAATAAATAATTAAGTCTTTAAATTAACTAATTAGAAAAAAAGATTAATTTCATTTTTTTTTCAAAATTATTATGTAAGTAAAATTAATTTTCAATTGATAGAATTCTTAATTGAAAGTTTGCAGCGTGGTTAAATATTAAATTACAAAATCATCATATGTTTTCTTTCTCTTTTTCTCATGTACTACTTTAAATAAATATTTTTCTTATTAATTGTTGAATAAAATTTTAAAAAATATATGTATATATATCATATTTAGTTATTTATATTATTTTTTAACAGTTTGGATCATTACGGATTAGGTCGAGTAAATTTAGGAATTTACTAATTTGGTTGAGAAATGAAACGTTCTAACTATTAGTTTGATCATACCTAGGATGCTAAACTCCTTGTTGAGAGACTGATCTTAGTATCAATTTGTTCATACCTATTGGAGGACACGAGATCCATTTAAGGTAAAATCTTTATAATTTTAAAATTTTAAATATTATGACTTCTTAAATAGTTTAAATAAGAAAAAAATTATTAATCAAACTTTTAGTTGATTTTAAACCCCTAAATATCAAAAAAGTAGCTTAAATTATAAGTTTGTCAAATATAAAAAATATTTTAAAGGGTAAAAAATGAGTTTCTGATTTCATGACAAAGCAAATTCTAGAGACACAAGAGATTGTTATTCATATAACAAAATAGGACCATTTGACTAGTATTCAATTCGCGTACCCTAAGGACTAGTATATATTAAACCAATAAAGTTTGAATTGTGGTTAAACCGAGTAGTAAGCTAATACAAAGCCACTTGAAAATTTAGGAGAAAATTTGTAATAATATTTAATTTAAATTGAAAGATAGGATTATTCTTTTTAATTGAAATGGAAATATAGTAAATATAGCCTATTGTCCTATCTTAGTTAATAATATTTTTTAAAATCTCTCTCTCTCTCTCTCTCTCTCTCTCTCTCTCTCTCTCTCTCTCTCTTATATATATATATAAAGAAATAAAGTTTGCATTGTGATCAAGCTAATACAAAGCCACTTGGTGATATAGGAGAATATTTATAGTAACATTTAATTTAAATTGAAAGATAAGATTATTCTTTTTAATTGAAATGTAAAGATAGTAAATAAGATTCTTTTAATCTGAAAATAGCCTACTGCCCTATGTTAATTAATAAGTTTTTCTAAAAAACTGAATTGAAAAATAAAAACAACACCACTATCTTAACTAATTATATAGATAAAGATGGAGGCATTATTAGCACATACTACGACTACTATTACTCCATTTAATAAAAATCTGAAATATAACAACAACAACAATAACAACAACAACAACCAGTGTAATCCCACTAGTGGGTCTGGGGAGGGTAAAATATACGCCAACCTTACGCCTACCTGAAAAAAGAAGAGAGGTTATTTCTGGAAGACTCTCGACTCAGGAAAGATAGAGAAGAAGGGGTAACAACAAGCAACAACACTAGCAAACCAAATAGAAAACTGAAGCGAAAAAAAGAGTAAGCAATAACAGAAATCTAATAATAAGAAAATACAAAACTAACACCGAAGAATGCATTAAAACTACTTGAACGAGCAAGGACAATGCTCGGCTACCTAGCCTACTATCTTGATTCTTGACCTCCATACCTTCTTATCCAGGGTCATGTCCTCGATAAGCTGGAAAATTATCATGTCTTGCCTAATCACCTCTCCCCAATACTTCTTCGGCCTATCTCTACCTCTCATTAGGCACTCCAAGGCCAATCTCTCACATCTCCTTATTGAGGCATCTGTGCCTCTCCTTTTCATGTGCCCGAACCATCTAAGTCTCGTTTTCCGCATCTTGTCCTCCACAGGGGTCACGCCAACCTTGTCCCGAATAACTTCATTCCTAATTCTATCTAACTTGGTATGTCCACACATCCATCTCAACATCCTTATTTGTGCTACCTTCATCTTCTGGACATGAGAGTTCTTGAATGGCCAACGCTCAATCCCATACAACATAATCGGTCTGACCACCACTATATAGAACTTACCTTTAAATCTTGGTGACACATTCTTATTACAAAAAATACCAAAAATAAGCCTCTATTTCATCTACCCCGCCCCAATACAGTGTGTAATATTCTTGTCAATCTCCCAATTTCTTTGTATAGCTAACATAAGGTACTTGAAATTTCCTCTCCTAGGATGACTTGTGAATCAAGCCTCACCTTCCCGTGCACTTCAAATATTCTGTCTTGGTCCTGTTCAATTTGAAATCTTTAGACTCCGGGGTCTACCTCCAAATATCCAACCTCGTGTTAGCATGCCTTGCATCTCGACAATCAGTACAACGTCATCTGCAAATAACATATACCATCGCACCGCTCTTTGAATGTGGTATGTCCGCACGTTCATCACCAGGGCAAATAAAAATAGACTGAGAGCTGATCCCTGGTATAATCCCATCACGACTAGATAATGTTCCAAGTCCCTCCCACTGTCCTCACTTTGGTATTAGCTCCATTATACATGTCCTTAATCGCCCTAATGTATGCAATATGTATACCTCTAGCCTCCAAATATCTTCACAGAACCTCTTTCGGGATTTTATCGTAAGCCTTCTCTAAGTCGATGAATACTACATGTAAGTCCATCTTCCTCTCCCTATGCCACTCTACCAATCTCCTAACAAGGTGGATGACTTCCGTAGTCGAATGCCCAGCATAAATTCAAACTAATTCTCGAAAATAAATACACTCCTCCTCACCTTCAAAACAATCATCTCCTAGACTTTCATAGTATGGCTTAGCAGCTAGATACTCCAACAGTTATTGCAATTTTGGATATCATCATTGTTCTTATACGAGGGATTATCATACTCCACCTATATTCTCCGGGCATCTTCTTCGTCCTAAAAATGATATTAAATAACTCGGTAATCCACTGCAAGCCCGCCCTGCCCGCACTCCTCTTAAATTCTACCGGATTTCAACTGGCCCGGTCGCTCTTCCCCTGCTCATCTTATGCATAACCCCTTCGACCCTTCAACTTTTATATGCTTACAATACCCAAAGTCTCAAAGACTCTAGGAGTATTCTAATTCACCCAACACAATGTTTCTGTCCCCCTCTTTGTTCAAGAGTTTATGGAAGTAAGCCTATCATCTTCGTCGAATATGTGCCTTATCCAACAAAACTCTTCCTTCCTTATCTTTGATGTAATTCACTTAGTCTAGGTCACGTGCCTTCCTTTATCTCACCTTGGATGGTCTGAACAACTTCTCTTCCCCACCTTTGCCTCCAAGTTCTTCATACAAAAGTCCAAAAGATGTAGTCTTAGCCGTCGTAACCGCTAACTTTGCCTTCTTTTTAGCTATCTTATACCACTCCCTATTATCGTCTTCTTCTCCTCCTCGTCTACGCTCTCCACTAGTTTCACCGTTTTCTTGGCTTCTACTTTTCATTGGACCTCTCCATTCCACCACCAATATTCTTTGTGACCACCAGAGTAGCCATTCAAGACTCTTAATACCTATCTAGCAGCTTTCCTAAAATAATTTGCAGTCGTGGTCCACATACCACTCGCATACCCACTACTCCTCCAAGTCACCATAGCCAGCAACTTCTCCCCAACTCCTGAGCTTTCTCCTTAGTCAAGGCTCACCACTTGATCTAATTAGGTTGACCATACACAACTCTCTTTCTCCTCTTTCTCGTGATCTCAAGATCCATGACCAAGAGCCTATATTGGGTCATAAGGTTCTCACTCGGGATGACTTTGCAATCGTTGCAAAGAGACAAAATCTTATATCTAATGGAGAGTGGAGATGATGGCTATTAAGCTTCAACACTCGATGGGATAGTAGCGAGGGACTTGTTGATTTCATTGTCGACAGAGTGGTAAACAACACCGAATCAAGCTAAGATGCATTGGTTTTAGCCATTGCAGAACAACTAGCAGTAGCCACGTCTGTTAAAATCATTAAAATCAAATACAGAGTAACTAATGACAGATATCATCCGCTGATAATCCGCAATGACATGGGAGTCCGAGTGTATATGAAACTAAAGAAGAACAACAAGGATTTTGGAATGTATCCATTGCGTGTAACAATGAACGAATAGTAGAAATAGAAGTTGTTCCAACGTGAGATCAAATTGTAGGATTGTGTGAATAGCATTAACATAAAAAGGACATATAATAGCGATACATTCAAAGGGATTACTAATACAATCAAGATGTTTGGATTGGGCACCAGTGGGGATATTGAGGAATTTGAATGTGAGGACGCTGGAATATAGCAAACCTCATGCACAATATTTTTTTGGAATGCCAAGTTCACTAAGACAAGGATACTCTTGTCAGCGCAATGAAGCATTACGCAGTTTTGAAAATGTGATTCTAGCTTTATCTCGTCTCCTTTAACACCGATTGAACGGTGTTTTTGAAGGTTGAACCGCACCATCTCAAGCAACCTCTCATTTTATCTTCTAGTACTCTTTGCACCTTACTGATGTGTTCATAGCATAAGTTCTCCCACATATGCAGAAGTTACTTCAATATGTTTAGAATTTTAAAACTGAACTTCCATTTTAACTTAATGAATCAATTTGCTCCCGCGATATAAAAATGAGGAAAGCCTGGCCCTTGTGGTCTGTTCATGTTACAGTTTTTGAGCATGCTCGTCTTAAGTTCGATGTTTTGCTAGCAAATTCTGGCTCCACGTTAAAAGGTAGACATATCAATAAGAAATAATATAGTAATACATTGTGATGAAAAAGTAACTTTTACATACAAAAACCAACTTGAGAAGTCCTAGAGCCTATAATATACTCTGGAAATTAAAACCCTATTTAAGCCCCAATGCACACAGTCAAAACAACTGAACTTATTGCTTCCAGATATATAACACCTGAACTGGAAAAATTAAAACACAACAATATGTAGAGCATATCACAGATGATATTGAACACTATTTTGCTGCTTGTTCTACAACTGGAATATTCTTCTAGAACTCATGCAGTTCGTTCCTTTCCAGTGGCGGCAAAGAGAACATGCTGACAGTTGAACTTCCACTTCGGATTTCCTGCAAGACTCTCAATGCTGATTTTGTAAGCTTCAAGTACATGTTTCCCTTGTTTTCAATCTCGGAAAGTTCTGGATCTTTGACTCCGCCGCTTCCTTCCCCTCCTGGTGCTTTAGAGAGCTTTTCAATTGCTGCAAGTTCTTCTGGATCTTCAGCTACCCTGCTTCCTCCATCAATACCTTCAGATGGTTCTTTAGTCTCTGCAACTACTTTTGTATCTTCGACTCCACTACTACTTCCTCCGCCACTTTCTTCGTCTCCTGGTGCTTTAGATGGCTCATTTTGGGAGAAAAGGCTACTAAGCATGGTCTCACACTCCTTCACTAGCTTATTTAGAACATCAGTTTTAAAAAATGGCTCCTCTAGCACCTTTTGGATGACAGGCAAGCGAATAAGAGCACCAGTACGTTTATCATACTTCTTTAATATCTTCACTAATCCTGAAAACAGCATAATTACCCAAGTGGAAAAATATGTAAAAATCTATAAAAGAACTGAAAATGCAATCCTAATCGCGTCAGTGGTGCAATTATGTATGGTTATACAATGCTAGAACAAGGCTTTATGATGCCTGGCAATAAGTTTCGCTATTTTCAAGATTCTGTTACAAATAGATTGGCAAATGATTAATTGAATACGTGAATTAAAGCTTCATTTACGATTTGCCACATCAAAAGTGAGATTCTGCTTTCTTACACTCTAGTTTTTTATGCCCTACAAACCATTGAACCTTTACTGCATAATTTACACAGAGAATGAAAAGTCAACTTAGCTTAAACTGCAACTGAATATACTTCTAATAAGAATTTACCAATGCCCTCAAACAGAAAGAACACTGTTCACATTACCCCATGAATGACAACATAAATACGGTATAAAGTAAAAAAAAAAAAAACNTACTTCTAATAAGAATTTACCAATGCCCTCAAACAGAAAGAACACTGTTCACATTACCCCATGAATGACAACATAAATACGGTATAAAGAAAAAAAAAAAAAAAAAAAAGACCTATTGAAGAATACATTGTCAAAGCATATTATTGTCATTCCTATGCAGCACACTTTCATTTTTATGACACTTGTTAATGCTGTTAGCTAAAATATTAATGGCTGAGTACCTATATAGTTAAGAGCACTGTAATTCTCCAATAGAACCATCTGTCCATGAAGATCCACCAGGTCTCTACCTACTCTCATCAACTCTTCCGAACTTCTAATCTCAGCAATACTATCTCTTAAAACCTGCATTTGCCCAACAAGAAGGAAAAACAAAAAAATTGGAAAAGATCAACAACAATAACAACAACAAATCCAATAATTTCCCACAAGTGAGGTCTGAAGAGGGTAAGATGTAAGCAGTCTTACCCCTACCCTGGAAGGGCAGAGAGTATGTTTCCGATAGACCCTGGGCTGGAGAACGGATGAAAAAAGTAATGGCAACAAGTAGGAATAACAACAAGATAAAAATAAAACCGAAGTGAAGAAAGTTGTGAAACTATAGGAAGTAATATCAATCTATGACTAAAAGGATATCATACTAACACTAGTGCTAACGAACCGAGTAAAGAGGAAGAAGCCCTAATTCTAAAATTTTGTATCATATAAGCAATATTATCATGACTCGACTAGAAATATAACAAAAGGACTTGATTACCATTTCTCTGCTATCATGACTCATTGCCTAGTACAAATGCACCAAAGCAATTAAGACCATAACTGTTGTACAGAAGTAACATGGTACTGCACATTACTCTGTCAAGAAAAAAAACAGATACCATAATTCTATTCTAATCACCTCAAATGCAGAACACAAATTCTCAGTTATTTTTATCATTTTGACAAACTTTAAGCAATTGCAGTATGCAAAAGATGTCCCATAACACGACTAAGAATTGCAATGAGATGCAATACTAATATCCAAATACACATATTTTCTTCTTCTCTGCTTAACATAAAGAAGAAAGTTCCCTAGAATTAAGATAAGAACACCGAGAAACCAAAAGGAACCAAGAATAATCTAAATGCTACAACAACAAGGCTCCAATGAAAAGGTTGGAAAGTATTTTAAAGATCAACAAGGATAGGGGAGATAATGGAATGTATAACAAAAACGACACTTCCATGATTAGAGGCAGAGGCACCGCAGTGCCATCCAACACCACTCCCTGAAGATTACAATTAAGAAACAAAAATACTGTCTATTTATCATGATGTAGTGAATCCACTGTGACAAGCAAGGTTTTGGCTTAGTGGTCAAGTTAGCTTTTACTCTCATGCAGAAACAAAATAGATGAACCCAAATTTTCTTACACTAGACTGACATTGTTTATGCAAACATCTGCGAATGCAAGTTTCACAATTGCAAACTAGTTGGAAGGTTAGCATAAGAATTGCCAGTCAGTATTGGGACAAATTACTGAAATTAGGGTGTCATAAAACCAAAACGACAAGTAGCATACAAAAAAAATGACTACAACTTTTTTTTTTAATGACGAAGCCAGCTTGTGCGCATGATATGTGCTACATCCCACCAGTGCAGGTATAACATAAATCTGCCTACAATGACTAAAACTTAAACCCAACTAATTGGTATTCTTATATGGATACTCTGATACCAATCTGTTCAGTTTCGTTCCACTCTTAGTGAGTGGTAATTAATAAGGAAAAGAAAAAGATACCTTGAATTGAATGATATAATCCTCTTCTTTTTCGATGAAGAAAGAATTAAACTTTTCGATTTCCTCCTCTAAGAGCACCACAAAATCATTTACCTCCTTTCTGTTAATCCCATCATTATTAGGATAAATCAATTTCAATTGCTTCTTGAGATCCTTGTAAGACAGGAACTTGTCCTTCCATTCAGGCAGAGTCTGTTCTATAAGGGCCATCAACATCATCAAGATCCTGCCGAACTTCATGATCCAAGAATTGCTTTTTTAATAGCAGTAAAGGACTTGTATATATAATGCGTTGGATTCTATGATTGTTTGGTAGGGAATATCGGAATTAGCGACGCACGATTCTCTTGGGTATATGGTTTGGCCACTATATATGCTCTTTGGTTCGATCGTCGAATTTTCTAATTTTTTATTTGCTCCAATTGGGGTAATTTGGCACCAAGATAAATTGGATTCCGATGGTTGTTTGTATCTTAGGGGTACGGAAAATGAATCGAATTGGAATCAAATCCACATAAAAAATTGACATTTTGTGTTCGAAAAAAAGTCCCAACCAAATTGCCATATTATAAACCTATTAAGGCTACCTTACTCTATTGAGCAAGCCATCTTCTTTATAAATTTAAGTGTTGATAAAACTATTAAAGCATAGGAATAACTCTGCTGTTACTGTATATTCATCTAAAAATAGCTAACAAAAGTTTAGCAAATCTTTAACTGATCTGAACCCACCAACGTCAAGCTGACTCCAATTCTCGTTAATGCACTTTGTCACCAACATCCAATTTTGTTGAAACACCTATCTTTTACTCATGTTGATACACTTTATCACCAACATTCTAATTTTGTTAAAGCACATATCTTCAACTCCCGTTGATGCACGTTGTCACCAACACCCAATTTTGTTGAAGTACTTCTCCAACTTCCACAGATACACTTGTGACCAGCTCCCAATTGGTGATGTACTTGTCACCAGCTCCTTTTTTTATTTTTTCTTGACCGCTTCTCTAATTTTTAAAGAAGAGTCTCTTTCCCTTGTGCCATTATTACCTTGCACCTCTTTAAGTTTGCAATCATTTTGCTCAATTCTTCTCAACAAGATTGCTTTCCATACATATAACATTGGCCCCATATTTGCCAACATACTCAACGGCCAGATGGGCGGCACATATGGCTCATCGCCTACCGGCATCGGAAGCTATTTGATTCTCTCCGAAGATTGTAGAAACTTTAATACCAATATGAAGAACAAAAAAAATTATTAAATCTCCGACTGATCTTTACAACTTTTTATTTCTCCTCCATAAATCTTCAAACGTAAAAAATAAGCTAGCAAAACATCTATTTATAATAGTACAAAACTTATTTTAACTGAAAACTGTAATTTTAATATATTCTTACTATAAATCTTATTCAGACATGAATTAAATAAACTATCAAATACCAAATCCTAAACAATTTTGGTTTACTATTATAATTTTGAACTAGTATTAGCACCCGCGCGGATGTGCGGATATTAACCATGTCAACTATTTGAGTTACTTGGATTATATGTAAATAATCTTAAATTTTAAACATTCTCGATAAATATAGATAATCATTGAATATTAATTAAGAAACACTACATGAAATTAAAAATTCCTCAAATCTCCTAGTTATAATTCTAGTTTTCTTTTTTGGTAACATTCTCGCCGGTGTCATTGGATCCTAAAAATAGTCAAGAAGCAAAATAATAACTCATATTTATGGCAAAACAATTAAAGGTTGAGACTATGAAGGACTCTTTGGATACGACTTGACTCAACTAAATATTACTTGAACTCTTATTTGGTGTGTTGATATCTATTAAAAAATATTTCTATTTTAAAATTTCAGTTTCTAAAATTTTATTTTTCAATAATAATTATTTTTATATCCTTAATTCAAAACTCATTTTAGTCGGCTATCTAAAAATATAAAAAATTCTTTAGCCAGTGAATTTTTTCCCCAGTATGACTCCAGTTTGATATTTAACATTAACCATGTTAAATATCTGAGTTATTTGAATTATATGTAAATAGCCTTAAAATTTAAACCTTCTAGATAATTATAGATAATCGTTAGATATTAATTAAGAAACTACATGAAGAAAGACTAATATTTTCTCAAATCTCGTAGTGATAATTTTATTTTTGCACCATTCGCATTAGTGTCATTGGAACCTAAAAATAGCCACAAAGCGAAATAATAGCTCGTATTTATGGTAAAGCACAAAGGTTGACACAGTATGAACGATTCTTTGGTTACGACATGACTCTTTTACTACGACTTGAACTCTTATTTGGTATGCTGTTATCTTTCAAAAACTATTTCTATTTTGAAATATCAAATTCTAAAACTTTATATATTTTTCAATAATGATCATCTTTATAATGATGCAAGTCAAGATATTATCCATAATTTAAAATTCACTTTAATCGGCTATCTATAAATTTAAATGATTCTTTAGCCGAAAAAACTTTATTTTAGTATGACTCCATTTTGAGTTTATCGATATCTCTAGCCACAAATTTTGAATTTTGAATACCCTATATATACGAATTTTTTGTTCTTTGAATCATTAAATGTTAAATTAGTTGATTGTTATTATATAATTATATAACATTGCATATATTATTTTAAAATTTCCAAATAGTTTTTTCTCGACACCATACTTGGCTTAACCTCAATGCAAACTACATAAATTGTATTTAAATTCAAATACGAATATCATATAAGTTTGTTATTAATAGTGATTTTTTAAAAACGACACACAATGTAAATTAAAAAAATATTCTAAGATATCCTTATTTTATAATCTATGTATTTGAGTTGAAAAAAATATTTGAAATCGATGAGATCAGCTTCCAAAATTTCTATACTCAACAAAGATGAAACATAAGAAGAAATTCGTTGTCATCTCTTATTTCTGGTTTTTAGTTTTTTCATACATTTTTTCTATATTTATTTTCTTTTATCTTGTTTTTTTTATGTCTTTATTTCTTTTTTATTAAAAAAATTAATTTAATTCGCTATAAAAAGGATGAGTTTTAAAAGAAATTGTCTACATAAGAACTTTATTTATATTTTTAGTCTTTGGTTGAAATTCTTTCATATTTTTCTTTTGGGTTTATCTAATCAACCTAAATAGGTGCTCAACCAACCACTTAAATTAAAAAATTGAAGGATGTGTAATTTATATATAATTCATATATAATATATGTATAATTGTGTGTTATCGTTATATCATCTATGTATATTAGCTATAAAAATTAAACAATAAATTTGGCCAGATATTTATGTAAATATTTCATAAGTTTTTGGTTTCTTGATTTTATCCATGCTATGACTTCTATTATAATAATTTTAAAACCTCTCTACTAAAATTCAAAAATATCTTATCTTTTTATTTTTAAAATTATATTATATTTTAAAAAATAATCCCATTTCGAAATAATTTGTTTACATTTAAAAAAAAAAATTAGCTTCTTAATAAATGTTTTAAATATACTTTTTGTTACACTTGAAAATCGCTATAGTAACTATCAATTAGAAACCAATATCCCTTTTGTTGAATTCGAGAAAAAAATCTTTCACATAATCTAATGATTCAAAACTAATATTTTTCAATGACAAAAATATTATACCCTTGCAATGTTGGCTTGACTGCAGCTAAATAAAAAAGTTTCAGCTTATACCCTTCAATACCTAGAAGGTGCTAAATTGAATTTAATGACAACAATTGTATAGCCAAAGTTTTGTTATTTATTTGATGTCCATTTATACAAATTGACTCTTGAAACAAACATTCTTCAAAAAGAAAAGAAAATTTTTTTTTTGAATATTGACTGATATTTGTGATGTTTTTTTCTCTGGCATGTAGATTTACTTTATTATAGATGTAAGTAAATTTTTATTCGATTTTTAAACTCTTTTTCGTTCTCTAGATAAACATAGATGTGTACTCTATATATTATATTTATTTTAAAAATAATTCGCTTTATTCAAATCTAGCTAAAGTGTTTTAAAGTACTAGAATTATATGGTTTTAAAAGTGAAAGAGTTTTATATTTATATGGAGAGTAGTTTTTTTTGTTTTTTTTCCCTTTTTGCAAGAGGAGAAGTAGTATTTAAATAATTAGAAAAGATAACAAAAGTTCCTAACATGATTGCATATGATCATTAGCCGAATTAAGTGTCATAACATGATAACAAAAGATAAATTTCTTTTTTATTTTAATTCAAATTTAAAAACTTTATCTATAAATTCANTCAATGTCAATTATATATGGTAACTTTATTCCTTTAATATATATATATATATATATATATATATGTAGATTTACTTCATTATATATGTAAGTAAACTTTTATTCGATTTTTAAACTCTTTTTTATTCTCTAGATAAACATAGATGTGTACTCTATATATTACATTTATTTTAAAAAAATTCACTTTATTCAAATCTAGCTAAAGTGTTTTAAAGAACTATAATTATATGGTTTTAAATGTGAAAGAGTTTTATATTTATATGGAAAGTAGTTTTTTTTTTTGCCTTTTTGCAAGAGGAGTGTGATGACCCAAAATATCATCTTTAAATTTAATAATTAATTCTGTATTCTAAGAGCTCGAAAAGCACTATTTATCGTTACTCGACTTGCGTGCGCAGTCCATAAAATTTTCCGAAAAGTTTTATGTGAAAAATGGATTAAAATGTGAATTAGAGATTTAAAACTTAATTGAGTTAACTTTGGTCAATATTTTGAGCAAACGGACTCGGATCAGTATTTTGACAGTTTTGGTAGGTCCGTATCGTGATTTGGGATTTGGTCGTATGCCCGAAATCAAATTCCGAGGTCCGTAGCCCGAGATATGGAATTTTGATGAGAAATTAAAAATTTAAGTTCAAATAGTGATCGGATGATGAATTATGTACAAACGAACCCGAAATAGAATTTTCATGATTCCAATAGTTTTGTATGGTGATTTTGGACTTAGGAGCGTGTTCGAAATTTTATTTGGAAGTCTGTAGTAAAATTAGGCTTGAAATGGCTAAAATTAGAATTTAAAGTTTGGAAGTTTGACCGAAGAGTTGACTTTTTGATATCGGGGTCGAAATCCAGTTCCGAAAATTTTCATAGCTCCGTTATGTCATTTATGACTTGTGTGCAAAATTTGAGGTCAATCGGACTTGATTTGATAGGTTTCGACATCGAATGTAGAAGTTAGAAATTTTAAGTTTCATTAAGCTTGAATTGGAGCATGATTCGTGATTTTAGCATTGTTTGATGTGATGTGAGGTTTCAAATAAGTTTGTATGATGTTTTAGGACTTGTTGGTGTTTTTGGTTGAGGTCACGAGGGCCTCGGGTGAGTTTCGGATGGTTAACGGATCAAAAATAGGACTTAAACAACTGCTACAAAAACAAAAGCTGCTGCAATTTTTCTTCTGCTGAGCAATCGAGCCCAAAAATTGAGTCGAGGATCGAAGGCAGACTCGAGAGCCATGATCAAAGGCAGGCTCGAGAGCCATGATCGAAGGCAAGGCTCGAGGGCCATGATCGAAGGCAAGCTCGAAGGCCA